TTAGGATAGTTTTCAAGTATTCGGAGTTTTTGCCGATAGCTAATAGACAAGTATGTTTTTTTCAAAATGCCCACTATTTGTTGAAACGTGAAAAGAACTGAAGATCGGACCTGGTCTTTTGTATAAATTAAAATTGGTTTGGACATTTGAAGACCACTGAATGACTTTTTGATTTGGCAAAACAGGTGTACATTTTTCAACAAGGATTTAAAAAATTAACCTGACAGTTATAACAAAAATATATGCAAAACGTTCAGTCATTCTTCACTGTTTCATATCGGGAACTGATTCCCAAGCCCCTCCAAGTTGGAAAATTCTCTTTGTGGATTCATGAGTAAAACACTTCGAAACATTCAATTTGGATGTGAAAAAATCCCCTAATTAAGAAAGGTGAATAAACGGGCATTAATCTTCTTGAACGGGCAGTTCACATTTTTGCAAGGGATTCACGTGGACAAAACAACTGGCACCGGATAATACATTTCGAATACCACAAATCGGTCGTATCTCGGCTGTTATTGTCCCTGGATTTATTAATATATTCCAAAAATGTCGCTGCTGCATGGAACATTCCGCAGGCCGCCTTAATTATGGCAATTGTGTTGTTTCAAAAGGTTTAATAACTCACATACCCGAATGCGGGCCTACACTTCAAATGAAGGAATTTGTTAATTTTGTTCATTTCGCCTGTTATTGTTCCTAAACCTTTGCTCGTGTGGCATTTTAATCAATGCTAACTGCAAATCGCCTGTTTCGACACGGCACATTCATTCAATTATTAATCGATTTTTAAGTTCAAAATTCAATTATTTTCCAGTTGATTTTTTGCATAGGATTCTTCCTTCATCACGTTACGCAACTTTAACATGGTAAATTAATTCAAAATTTTTTGGGCGGTTTTTCGCCTCTACAATTTTAAGCAAGTGTAAACAGTACTAATTAAAATTTACAGAGTAGTAAAGAACAAAAGTAATAGAGAAAACTAATAAATGAGCAAAAAGTTATTCTTTCAAATTTGAGATTATTGTATGCCGATAAGGAAGACTTGCAAAAATAATTAAAAAATATTATTATAGATACTAAAAATAAAAATATTTTTTAGTTAGTTTGTGTCTATTGAAGAAGCATGATTTTATTGACAAAATGTACTAGCAAACTTTCTGAAGGCAAATTTGAAATCATCAAAACTAAACAAAGTGCAAATGAAAAATGTGCCGCCCAGTCCTTAAACTGACGGAAACTATTGACCGAGCCGGAAAAAAGTTAAAAAACAATTTGAGGAAAAAATGCCATCGATGCCAACAATAATTTTTTCCTGTGGCTTCAATTTGCAATTATTTATATTTCAGAAAACATTTAAGAAAATCAAAGGTTTGAGTTTTTTTAATTTCAATGATTGTATTCATCGTATGAAAATTTCTTAGTTCATTTGTAAAGTCTCAAGTATCATAATTGCCCCTGTAGGTTCATCTTGATATTGCATTCAATTAAAACCGGTTTGATTTGGAGAATTATGTTGTGTTTTGTGTACAACTAAAGGCTCTTTGGAGACTAAAAACGCATTTATCTTGGATTTTTTATATTTTCTAAGGTATAAAAAATAATGATATTTGACTCTTCAATTTTATAACTTTCAACACCGGTGACATTTCCATTGAAAAACGATTCTGCAAAAATTGACTAAACATAAAAACAATCGAAAAATAAATAAATTGGTCAGCATTATCTGGTAAAGACAGTGTTCGGAACCTGCCCATTACCACAAACGCATTCTTAACCTCTTAAGAAACGAACAAACCGTCAATTTAGTCTAAAATATGTGATTGATCTGTTCCCAGAGACACACTGAGCGGGCGCTAAACGTTAACCTTATAAACAATAATTCGTCCAATTCGTTATAATAATAGTTCGGAATTATAGAAGATTGCTATAATCAAGCTCAGGCTCAAAACTCATGGGGATAAGTGCCCGAGCTTTGGACGCAAAACAAATTGTAAATGGGGCTCCAGGTTCGGAATTACGGCCATATAAAGAAAAGGAGCGCCCTGCGGCGATTTTCGAAAAGGTGCATGTCATTTCGGAAGAGGTAGATAAAGGTGGATCGTTCATTATAAGATTAGCGTGTGTGGATGCCAGTTATAACTGTATCGGGAATAATTGGAATTATTCAGAGGTGTTACACGTAATTTGGTAGGATTTTTCGGACTGTTGGTAATTTTTTCAACAGCCCAAAGATATTGAGCAGGAAGTCTGGCCGAACGCGTGAAACCCAACCAGATCAGGTGTTCAGGTTCCAATTATTACCTACTTAGAATTTAATCTGTGAGACATTTTTTTCATCCCAAGACAAATTACTAAAGTGTCCCCAAAAATGTGGATATCGGTACTTTCGCGGCCGGATACATAGGGTGTCAAAACAGCATGACCAGTTAAATTTTTTTAAATCTGCGAAACTTTTCTATCAAGATGCGGGAAAAACGAAATAAATTGTGTAAAGTCTCCCTGCCTGAAAATCGGTTTTAAGTAAATCATTTTCTCTGTATAACTTTCTCTGACTAACTGTTTTTGAAACTCATTTTGCTCTTTGATTTCGCCAGAGAGTGACCAGTTGCATACATTATTACTCATATTTTCAACACCCTGTATGGTAACGGCAAGCGGCTATTTTCAAATAGTTTGAAGCTTTGCTCAAAAAAAACTACATCGATAAAATGAACCGTTTTCCAGAAAAAACTGATTTCAATGATCAAAATTTTTTATTAAATTTTTAAAGCTGATCGACAGTATTTTCACACCTCCTTTTTTACACATAAATTCTTAACTTGTATCTCACACCTCTAATTTGTGAACCGCTCGATTGAAAGAGGGGGGATTCTAGCTTGGCCTCCATGTTCTCCCGATTAAAACCCATTGGATTTTTTTTTCTTCGTCTACTTTTTTGTTTAGTTTTATTCGGTCAAGAAACAACAAGGGACTTAAAATAGCTATCTCAAATTGTATGCACACCATATGTACGGTAACACGCAGAAGAGTTATGTAAGAAGAATATTTTTATAGTTTTCAAATTTTCGGAGTTTTACCCATGATCTGCCCTATTTGAGACTCAACACCCTAAGTGCCTCTTGTGTTGACGAAATAAAGTTTAATTCAAAAAACCGTTTCCATTTCAAAAGTTCCGTTCAAAAGTTTTGGTTTTCGGTGGCAAATACAACTGGCAGCCCAAAAGTCCTCTAAATCTACAGCATTTTAGTGCAAGACAGTGGAGAATCGAACGAACCCATAAAATAACGCCTGAACCCATTGCAACCGACAGAACCGACTAATTTAGCGGTTGCGAAATTTAACCAACGATATCTGCCCTATTTGGAATTCAAACCCCCCGTATATCGTCTGTTGGAAGACCATCTTCGGCCGAAGACAATTTATTAAGGTCTAAAAGACTTTCATTTGAAAGTGTGAAATTTGGTCAAAAAATGGGTAACAGCAATTTTTTTTTGTAAAAACTTCATAATTTTCAGCGCAAAAGCTCGAGGAATCTAACGAGCTCAAAAAATAACGACACTGAACAGAGAAACTGAAAAATTTCGACCACTTTAAGATTTTTTGGTGGAAATTGTACTCGAGTTTTTCGAATATATGAGAAAATTTATGGTAACTTTTTCAAGCACGAAATAGGAGAGTGGAAAATTTTATATGCACTTTACTTCACTTGCTCTTTTTCCAATCTAATCTCGAAAGTTCGAGTAATCGCGATTAGTTTTGGGACTCTCTGTGCAATGAATATCAATTCACACAATAATTGCGGGCGATTTTTGTTCCATTTCAACTTTGTTTCATTTTTCACTTATTTTCTCTTTCTTGATTCTTTGACCTAATTAGTATCACAATGTTGTTTTCTGATCTTTGTAAATAGTAAGATGCTACAGCGCAAAAGAAGAATTAGACGCGTATAAACAGAAACGACAACAGTCACATAACAGCAACTGAAGGAAATTTTGAAAAAAAGCCGTAATTAACTGAACATTGAGTCTAAGGCTCTGATGACTACATATCTGCATCAAAGAAACCAAAATAGAAACTTTGATAACAATGAAAAAAATATTAAATTCATTATTAAGGCAAAAACCTGAAGTAAAAAAGTTGTGAAACTTTTTCTATCGCACAGCAACACAAGGAAATTTCCTCGTTAAACAATTCAATTGATTTCTGCCTTGATTGATTTTGATAGTAAGATGCTTGCTATAGATTTTTTACACATGCACTTTTGCTTTGTTTCACGGACATTTTATCCGAAATGGCACCTTAAAATACCTAATTAGTTTCCTGATAAATATTTCTAAACCAAACCCCACATTAATTGTTCAAATGAAACAAACATTCCATATAAAAAGGATCGAATATTCGACTCGATAGGCCTTGTTGTCCGACCGATCATCGAGAAATGAATGACCGGGCAAGGCAAACAGAGAATTGCGTTTCCAAAGTACGATATCGTGTTTCGCATTGAGGAGGGGAACAACATGGGATTGAGTGCATTATGTAAACGTCATCCATATCCACATTGGGACAGGTACACTTTGCTATATTAGATACGTTGCAATAGGAAAAAAATTGAGTCAATCATCCAAATCAAAGCAAACGCAGATCAATCAACCAGTTTCCTAATGCGTACATTTAGTGTTTTGATTGCGCACTTTTTGCCTTCTTGAATTACGAAGACACCACAGGTTAGCGCAAATGTCCAGTGATTTGGACCATTTTTTTACGAAAGTCGCACAATGCCCCAATAAGAAACCAAACAAAACATCGAATTTTGCCTATGAAATGCCAAGTCGGGCATGAAATTATTATTCGAATGGTAATGTAATTACGACAATAAGATTGCAATCGTTTCAGTTGCAACTATTAAACAAATCCACACAATGTATATCAGTATAATAGGTTTGGTTGCTTAACGTGCAGCAAATTTTTTATTCAAATGATTGGATTTCTTCACTTACCACCCATGTGTCCATTCTCGTAAGGATAATCGCCGTTGTCCATTCGCTGCTTCTTCAGCTGCTGGTGCTGAAGATGGGACGCCGCCAGACTCAGTCCTACGGGGGCTCTTTTTGGCGGTCGGCCGGGCCTGGAACTGCAAAATGGTAGAGAATTACCGTTGTTATGAGCGGGAAATACACCAACGTTTAGCGATAATATTAGAAAGGAAAAATCTACAAAACTAGTGAACAGAAGAAGATGGTTAGGTGAATTGCGTACAACAGTATTCAGGCTGTATCGCAATCACAATGTTAACAATTTTTCCATACACACCCCCAGAGCTCAGAGTTAAGGTTAAATTACCCAGTATGAAACAAGGCATTTGGAGCGTTTGTATGCGACCCAAATTCAAGAATTTCAAAGGCCAGTTTGATATAATAAACGGCATGGCGCCAACGATATTAAAAGGAAGTAGGTGTTGTAATTGCTGTTTACATCTGAAGACAATGAAAATACTAAATATTTACCGAAGGCAATTATGCTGCGGAAGACAACACTAAATTTTAAAACGATAATATATCTGCTCGCAGCTAAAAACCAGATACGCACAACGGTGGCACCAGCGCGTTTAAATATTGTCTAAACTAAACACGGGAGTTCATTTCGATCTGATCTGACACTCATTTTTGTCTACGATATTCTCTCTAAATTATAATTGTTTACCTTAAGTGTTTCTGCTTTATGTAGAGCCGATGTGCATCGAACCGGTTTCGTCAGATTAATAACTTGACGCGATTTTAACTAATATTTGGATTAGCAATGGCTGGAACATTTATGTTTTGAGGCGATTATTGCGATTGTATGCGACGTTTTGCTAACGCAAAATCGGGTTTCGAAGTGGAAAAAACGAAATTTCCGAGCAAAATCTAGTGTTATGTCGCACAAGCACCCCTCGATTAAAAGGGCGAGCGATGCTCTTATAGAGGGTTGTTTTCGGGGGTGGCAAATGTAGGCCAACAGGTCAGATGTTATATGTGTAATAATCAATAAATAAGTAACGCGATTTCGCAGGATTTTTGGGAGAAAAATATTTAAGTTCACTCAGCAACCTGAGTGAATACCTATTAGTCTTTAAATCAGAAATTTAACTTTCAGTGATGCTGCAATTGTCTCGTTGTTTTTAGTATATTCTTAAACCATTTTCAGTTGAAGTTTAAAAAAGGCAACAAATCGCGTTTTGTGTGCCCATCCAAGATTTTCGCTTATTAGGAAAATTGGATTCGTATGTATGTGTTATGAATAACTATTGCAACATTCTATGCCGTATTTTTTTATATATCAACCTGAAATTGACGAACTATCATCAGCTGCTCTTTTATATTTTTTTTCCATTAAAACTTAGTTTTTTTCTAATTTTAATGCAGTTTTCTTTTATTGCAGCTTCGAAAATGAGAGTATGTCTATACTTTTTGTACAATAAAGCAATTGATTTGATTTCATAATAGTTATTCCATGCTGAAAATAAATTTAACAACTAGAATCATCGCCTCCATAGTTAGAACTTTTAACTTTGGCCGATCTAAAATTGGTGTAGCCTGATCCCAAGCTTCTAAATCTTTAAAACCGTTTTAAATATTAGATCAATGCTTATAATTCTTAGAAACGGATGGAAAGATATAAAATATCGTAATAATCTTTTCGCTAGACCGTATCAATCCTTCACCACTTAGGTTTTATCGCAAATTATTAACGCCCAACGAGATAAAAGGAAAATGTTAAGATTGTGAAGACCCTTGATGATGTAAACAAGTTTTGCCTGAATAGCAGTTTAGGATGAAAATTGACCAAAATTCTAGACCTTTAGTTACCTACAGCACGAAAAGGGCGCGAGGTTGCCAGATTGGATTCTTAGGTCATGCTCTGAGCGTAACAAAAAACAAAGTTCCAATAAAATTAGTTGGAGATTTACACGAGTTTTCTGGGTCATTTCAAGGACCGCTTTTTAAAAAACTGCTAGCTCAAACCTTTTGCGCTGTTGCAAATTTTCCCTCATTATCCCCAAATTAGTTTGCAATAATCAATGCCAGATAAGCAGCACAAATAATCTATCAGCACCATTTGCGCTCGGCATATCAAGAAAACCGACAAATGTAGTCATGATATTGTTTTAAATTAGGCAAATTAGCACATGAAAAATATAAGATCCATATCAATTTCTTACAGGAAATTAAATGCGTTTTACTTCCTGTGTAAATTAGCACGCTTTGTTCTCTAGCAGATGTAAAAATATTCGATTGAGAAAAATCTATAGAAATTTGGCCAATTTTACATTTAAAAATTTACTTAATTTTATTGTACGAAGAAAAAGCAATTACTATCGGGAAATAAATGCGAGCCAACTCACATATCACTTCGAACTGAAGCTTGTTCATATTTATCGGCGCTGGTGCGCCTGAAAATCCACCCAAAGCCGAGTAAAGAAATAAAAGAGGGGTACGTCAAAATACAGTTATTTCTTGAAAGTTGGCACGGTTTTAACCCTTTTCCTTCTCAGTTCCTCCCATCGTCGAAAACGGCGACTGATGAATATGTAATGCCACTAATTAAAGACGTAGCCGAAAAAGCACCTGCGTCCAGAAGTATTACAACGCCGGTTATAAAACCCCGTAATTACGCGAATTTTGCGTAATTTCTTTCTTAAAAAAACGCCTCGCCAGTTAGAGCTTTAGGGGTGGAGTACGGTCTTCTCTCTCGACTAATTAAAAGTAAAAATGGAATTTTTGTTTTGCCCGAATGATGTAATTAAAAATTCAGATTTAATGTTTCCGACCGCGAGAAACTTTCCGTAATATACCGATGGAAAAATTAGAAAATGAATAATGAAAATCGAGGTAAAAGGAGAATCCACATTTATTTGGTACATCATTTCGGCTCACATAAAAGTTGTGGGAAAGGCAACCTACACCCGCCTCGGATTTAATAAGCAAAGTTTCATGCTTTTCTTCTGCTTTAAACGCATATTAAAATTAATATTGTTTTTCTTCTGATGTATGAACGCAGCTCAACGGCCCACATTGGCAGGACAAGAAAGTGAAAAAATTATAAAATTCAATAAAAATCTCATGCACTGTTATCGTGAATAATGGCAAAGAAGGTGAATGTAAAATAATTGCTAACATCGAATTGGAATGAAGGACCCCGAGTTCAAATGGGTGAAGTAGTGACTGGCTACGGTTTTGTTGCAATAAAACATTGTTGCCGTTCTTCTGATGCAGTTTTTTGCAAATATCTCCGTTTTTGATTCGAATTGCTATGTTTTACTATTTTTCCTGTACTCCCTAAACACCCCCAGAGGAATGACGTCAATTTTGGATCACCCTTATTCAGAAAGTGGATGAGAAACGGCAGCAATTTTTTTATAAATCATGTCAGGGTTCGAAAGAAATGAAAGGGATAATGAATTCCGACGAATAATTCAGCGGCTCAACCGAAATCACATTAATCCAAATATCAATCAAACTCGAGCTAAAAAGGGCCTAATTCGGGAAATATCGAATGGCCGAGCCAAATTGGCAAACCGATCTGAATTAATGTACAAGAGCGTAGCATGAAAAATTATCGTGAATGTCCCTCCACAATTGGCTTATTTATTTTTAATAGCCCTCGGCTCGATTGTCTGTCTGTCGCCGTGTTGGTGTTAATTGAAGGATTCCTCATTTTACGAATCAACGGGCGGAGGCTTAATCGATGACCCGGGGGCTTCGGGATTCACTCCCTGATAATTTATTACGCCATTTGATTAGTCAAATCCGATATTGGTAGCACTGCAATTTGTCAACGCCTTTAGCGAAATTGGAAAATCATTTATATCGAACGATCGAATGAAAATCCACTTAAGAACCCTGAATGAAAACGTGCTGTAAAGTTGATTTTTTAAACACAAATTCCTCGCCAACTCCAACTGCCCAATATATGTTAATGAAGCCATTCGTTCCAATTTGCTGACGCATAAATATTTATTATTTTGTCGAAGACTTACGAGCCCAGAAATGAAACTAATAAATCAAAGACGGTTCGATTTGTCGACTGACCAGAGGGTTGATATCTGATATTTGCGCCGGACGCCGACTAATGGATCAAGATGTCGGCAAACACCAGTCAGAAAATGCCCCTATTCGCGTATTTGCCGTGAAATTGACCCCTAACTCTATTTGACGTATAAATGTAATGGGGACCGCAACGAATTTGATCGCTATTTATAGGCAAAGACGTGAATCAACATTCTTTCGGCTATTGTCCAAGATGACTGAAATCGGAAACATTTCATGCAAAATAGGATAAGATTGCATCATTTGCGAAAAAACCATCAAGTCACTGTATGTCTTCGGTTGAAGGCTGAAACAAGAGCAAAAAGCGGATCTTATTTGAGAAACTTTCAAAAAAACTGGACACTAACTTGAATTATTTTCAAGAATCAATTGAGCTCAATTCGATCTCAGGCAAAATGAAAATTACCGTGTTTTTTTAAATGTTTTCCTTTTATTACCCTTTGTCTTCTTTGTGCGTTTTCTTTCTGGTTGAAAACTTATTTTCAAATTGGCCAAATTCGAATTTTCGAACAAGGCTTTCAGAACAAGAATTAGACAATAATTTTCGAGCCATTTATCCGAGCAAAATTGCCCTTACACACACTATCGTTCAAAGATTCTTGAATCTTATGCAAAAATAATAAGGAACAATTCTGGGCTGTTTTTTCAAAACTCGGTTTTTGTCCAGCTTTTTAAAGCTATTAGGTAATGAAAAAACTACTTTACTAAATAATTAAATTTGTGTAAATTTCAATAAAATACTGTTTTTCAAATATAAATATTTTTATATTACTCGATGTCTTTTTGGTGTTCGTGTACTCGCATTTTTTTGCTCTAAAGCGTTTGCTTTTAAGGTATTATTGATATTGAAGGGCGACTAAAACCATCTGATGTGACCCCTCTGGATTTTTGGGTCAGAACTTGAAAAACTCGAAACCAAACCCGCCAAAATTGATGAAGTAAAACTAAGAATAATGCAAAATCAGAATATTTTTTTAGCGTTAATTTACTTGATTTTTGAATTATTTAAAAAAGTGCAATATTTAACTTAGGCAATGTTACCTAT